GACTAATACACAGGTCATAACTAATACATTTTATAAGCTGAGGTTGATATCACTGGCTAATTAATTTACACATTAATGATAAGGAACAGAGAATCAAGATACGAATTCTCAGAAATTAAACACATGTTTGACAGATTTTCTTAAAAAGGCAGCGTACCAAAGGGACCAAATCCAATCTAGAAAGCCTGGGTTCTGATTCAAGCCTCTCTGGACCTCATTACCCTTGTTCATAAAAGGAGATGAATAACACCTACCTAGGTTGGGCTGTAGTGAGGATCAGATGAGGCACCTGATGCTGAGAGACACAAATGGGTGCACACTGAAGAACAGGCACCCACGCCTGCCCCATGCCATGGAGAACCCTGTCCTCCGATCGATATGCCTTCCCTTCCTCTTGCACTTTGTGAGTAGAATTTTAAAAAGAAGGAAGAGAGCTTTCTCTGGCCTAGAGGGATAGTTTTACAGCCTTAGGTAGATACCTGGACCCCTTGTTGCTGTGCTCCAGAGCCCCTGTGTTCAGCTGGGAAGGGTTGTTGGTTCATGTTATTCAGTCTCTCCCCTCTCCCAGTCATGCCTCTGTTGCTGCTGTCACCAGTCCAAAAGCCTGATGACCTCAGTCCCCATGAATGGAACGAGCATCCAGTGGAAAAACCATGACCGAAACAACCACCACACGGAGGGGAGCAGCCATAAGGACAGCATTAACTAACATCTAATGAAGCATCCATCAACATGCCTTCAAATCCTGTTGGAGAAAAACACCATCACACTGCAGCTGTGTCTCCGGAAACCTCTGATCCTTCCTCCATAACTCAGTAGCACCCTTGTGGGGAGCAAAATGTTCCGATGTGTTTCCAAAACAATGGAGAGTGAAATGTTTTATACCCACAAAATCCATGAATCTTACTTGTTTTTGTGTAATTTACATAGTTTGCATGCTGTACGCAAGACTAAAAATGGTGGGAATTAGTGGAGAATGGAGACTGTTAAATGAAATTAGAAGGATTTTGCTACTTTTGCATGAAAATAGTTTAAAAGTACATGGCTAGCTTTCATGACAGTTCTGTTGCATGTTCCATGGAACTGATCACCACTGAAGTTTAGAGATTATGACAAGATTTTGTTTTTTAAGTCCTTTTGGGGAGCAGCCAAACAGCATGGGTTTAAAGTCACTTTTCTTTAAAATGCCATTCAGTGCCAGTATTTTTTTAACCACATACTAGCCTATAAATGATTATTTGAGCTAACTTACACATATCTTAATTAAAAAACAATATTCAGATGAGCTATTAGTCTGTTCCTTATGTCACTGTTTTAAGATATAGACTCAAAACAGCAAAAAAATAGGTACTCAAAACACAGACTGATAACATATAGCAACTTAATAGCTGCTAATCAAAAAATGTTGAAAGCCTGTATTTTCTTTTTTCATGATGTAGTGGTATAGATCATGAACATATTTTTGTGTTAAATTCCAAAGTAATGCTTGGATGAAATAGTTCTGTTTTTCACAAACCCAGTCTTTTTAATGTAAATTTTAAAGTATAAAAACCATGTTCAAAACTCAAATTAATGTGGCATTTAACTCTGCCTGACACTGTCAGTGCAATGTATAGAAGTCTAAAGCACTTGTAAGTGAAAAAGACTGGACAGAGGATTTGGAAATTTTCATTGAGTTTTTGTAATAGTACTATATATACCTTTGTATTTTATCTTTTAAATATCTCGCAACAAGTTAACTGGCTTTAAGACATTTTTGGTCATTCTTTTCTCGGAGAAAGCAGCATAATTTCAAAGTGGGCAGATGAGTTTGTCATGTCAGTGAGATACAGTTACTCTCACCATTAAATTTTGGTTCTTCTTTGGGTCTCTGGTATGAACCTAAATTCTCACCTCACATGATCACAATTTCAAAGGGCCCACAGTGACTTTTGCTGGGCATTTTCCCAAATGTTTACAGACTGTGAGTACAAAAAAATGTTACTCTGTATGTGTGTGTATTTGTAAATATGTATATAAACAGCTGTAAATTCCTTTTAACCAATTTTTTGTGATTGTATGTGATATATGCACACGTGTGAAAGTATGTATGACTGAACCTCATAATGCCCTGTGATTGTGCCAAGGTGCACACTGTGTAGAATCTAGGTGACTGTTCATCGAAAAAACTGCCTTGGTCACTTTTCACATATTAGGATCTGCTGTGTTCAGAAATCCTGTGACCATGTTACCACTGCAAATAAAACATGGAAGCAGCATGCAAGGGAATGAGCCCTGTGTTCATACAATGCAGGGTTTTGTTTGGTTGGTTTGGCAAAGCAGTATTTGGGGTCATATTGCTCCTTATGCTGGAACAACAGACACCGCATTTTAAAGTATTATATTGTTCTAATGTCAACTCAGTGTGGTGATGAGATTGACAAGTCACCTGATGTTTCTAATTTATTGGGTAGTATTTTAGCACAATCACGAGTGAAATATATGAGCTTCCAGTTGCTTTCACTGCAGGGTTAAAGAATACTGCTCCCTTGTCTCTTTGTCAGATTCAATTATGCCACTGGTACATCATATGCAGTGACATTTGCCTATAATATAAGCCATAGGTCCACACCATTTTGTTTGGACAGTTGTCTTTTTTTTTAAGATGCTTTGTTTCTTACATATAAAAAAAGCATTGTATAAATTCAGAAAGTCATACATTTCTGAGTAACTACATAAGCCTCCATGTGCATTTTGTTTATGGACTGGTAAGTAACAATGGTTTACTAGTAGGAATATTTCCAATTTCTACCTTCACCACATCTTTTCAACAAGTAACTTTGTAGAAATGAGCCATAAGCTAAGGCCCTGGGTTGGCAGTGGCCCATGAATATAAAATAAAACTTTATGGAAGTTTTGCAAGTGTCTCTTGATTTTACATAGTTCTTCATTAACCAAGTCCATTACATAATACCTGTTGTAAATCTCTCATTAGTACTAACCAGGCAAGAAATTTTACTTTCAGATAGTTTCTCGTGCTACTCTAGTCTCGATCAACCTACTATGTTGAACTGAATATTTAGCTCTATCAGCCACTCTTTTATTTTACCTTTTTCAGTACATTGTGAGCATTTACTATGGACCAGCCATTCTTCTAGTTAATTGAGAGATAGCAGCGAACAAAACAGGAAAGGTTGGCTACCTCATGGAGCCTGCTTTCCAGAGAAAGGAGTTAGGCAATAAGGAATTACAGTCAATGAATATTATTTTAGATGGATATCCTGAGGAAGGCACTCATCTATATTCAGACTGCTTACTTGACCTCTCCAGTTGGACGGCTAGTTGACCATAATATGTTCAAAACGGAGCTCTTGATATCTTCCAACCCATGCTACCATGATAACATTCTGTTCAGTTAAATACAAGACCATCCTTTAAGACAAAAACTTCAAAGTGATTTCTCATTCTTTTCTCTCACTCCTTACACCCTGTGTCTCAATAAATCCAGAAAGCCCTATCTTCAGAACATTCCCAGCACTGTACCATTTCTCTGTCTCTATGTCTCCCTCTTTAGTCTGTACACCATTGTCTTTTGCCAGAATAATTACAATGGGCTTCTATCATCCCTGTTTCTTTCCAGCCTTGTAAAGAGCCATTCTCTCCTTGGACCCTGTCTATCCTCTCTTATGATGGAAAAGTTGTGAGCCTGAAAATTGCTGTCCACTGTGGTTTGGGAATTGTGAAGAAAGTCCATGTGAACTGTCACAAAGATTTAAAAAAAAAGAAGACCAATTAAGTTCCTGTTCCAGTTTTCCTTGATGCTTTCCCATAGCTTAAGTCAACAAACCAACACATTTACTTTTTTGCCTCTGCTAGTTAAATTTAGCTTCCTTTGCTTATGAGATGCATTATAAGACCATCTCATCTAAGTTATATCAATTCATCTTATGTTGTTGTTAGAGCAGTTTTAAGTTTACAGAAAAAAATGACCCAAAATTGTAGAGTGCTTCCACATGTCCTCTTTCCTCTCCACTTCACACTTCCTGTCCCCTATTATTTTATCTTGCATCAATGTGGTAAGTTTGTCACAGTTAATGAACCAATGTTAATGCAATACTATTGCTAAAGCCTATAAAGCAATATTCCTTTGTGCTCTACGTCTACAGATTTTGGAAGCTGTATTGTGTCATGTACCCACCACTACCAATTCAGGAAACTTCCACTGACCTAATAATCCCTGCGCTCCACCATTCATTCCTCTCTCCCTCTATCAGTGAACACAGTGTGAGGCCCTTTCGTCTATGACTCTCGGTATAAATATTCAGTCACTACCAAAAGAATGGCATAGTAATAAGCAACACAGTATTGCCTCTACATTGTAAGGTTTCCGGCAAAGGTCACTAAATGTTATTTTCTACTCAAAAATATAACTACTTGGGGGCTTAGTGATGAAAGGTAAAGTGCTTGCTTAGCACCTGGGAAGCCTTGGGTTCAATCCCTAAGCACCGCATAAATAAATAGATAACATCTATCCAATAAGTTTTAAATTATTAAGGTAATGAAACAATTTTGAGACTAAGTCTAGGAAATAGCCAAAACCACTGTGAGTCTTTGGCTGATCTGTCACTGCTATTGTTTTTCATAGTTTTATTGTTCTTTGTTATAATATTCAAAACTCAGTGGAGTAGAGAGAATGCACCGTCAATTAAAAACTTTCCAAACTTGTGACTCCAAGGCTTATATTCCTTTATTTGCAAAAATAACCCAGTGGAGCACCGTCTTCATTGATTTCACGCCATACTTCAAACAAGCAAAGTTAAATCAGAGTATCAGTCTACCACAGACACTTGATGTTCTGATATCACAGTGAAAAATTCCATTGTTTTTTAAAGTAATCCTTGGAAAAGCTTCTATCATACTTTCCTCCAAGTAGTAACAAAGACACCCACTGTCTATATTTGGTTAGCACTAACTCTGATGTTTTTTGTTTCTGGACAAAGCCAGAACCCGTAACATCTCCAAGTCTCCTAAGCTTTTAGCATCGGTGTTATTCAGTAGAGTCTATCAACTATGTTTCTTCCTGGGGGTAATAAATGAAGAACAGCAATGTTAACTCTAAATATAATTAGAAGAGTCATGGAATCTTCCTAGGGGAACATAGGGAATTCCATGAATTTTTCCTCTTTGAT